TTTTGAGTGAAAAGTTAGAATTTATGGTGCATAAATTGGGTTTTTTAATACAAATTTTAATCCATATTAATTAATAATCTCATTATTAAACTCTAAGTTACGGGAAAAAATGAATATATTCGAATTTGATGCCCAAAAAAGTTGAATTTACTGCATCAAATTCAAATTTGATGTGACAAAATTTAAATTTATGACATCAAATTCAAATTTGCTTTTTGTTGTCCTATTAAAACTTAAATTTCACCAAACATGATAATATGACTCTATCAATCTAAATCTAAATTAGTTAAATGAGTTGTCATTGAAGAGTTATTTAAATCTAGTTTCTATTGAAATAAAACCCATTAAAAATTCTTTACATTTATAAGGCTATGATCAAAATTGTGAATAAAAGTCATAAATATTTTAGCTTTGACCTTTGATTAATATAGTTATAGTGTTTCACAAGCTATAAATACTTTTAAAGTGAAACTTGTTTGATATAAATATAAACTCAATAAGATTTTTAGTGACATCTATCTAAATAATTTACCCTTGCTCACTATCTTGGAAATAAATTTCAAAATACAAAGAGTTTTTAATTGGGTCTTATTGTATTAAAAATTAATCTTAAAGAGTTTTTTAATGATAAATCGTTTGACCCATTTAAATTTAAATTAGAAAATTATATCATCTAAAAGGTCACATTTTAATTAACTTTATTTATGTTCATTTAGATTTATAAATTGTTTGGTTATACTTTTTTTTTTCTGCTAGTGAATTTATTTTTATTCCTTGTGCAAACTTTTCTGTTATATTTTTTTTTGTATTTTGTTATTTAATTATTTTTAATCTCTTAATATTTATAGTTATTTTTATATTTATATCAAATATTTATATTTATTTAAATTATAATATATTTTTATTCAATTTTTTTTTTGAAGTATTGTTTTTTAATAATATTATTATTCTATAAGGTTAAAATGCATTTTTATTTAATAATATTATATTTTTCCATTAAAGATAATATATCTATTTTCACCCAACCAATCATAAGATTTTTCATCAACAGCTTAACAAACATATCATTATTAAAAAAAATTTCATTCCGCTCATTTCTTTTCATTCTAACTACCTTTTGTCTACCAATCGGGCTTTAATGTGTTTTGGAGCTTGGTGTCCTGGATTCTGTTCTTTCCCATTTCTGTGTAGAATGTACGCGAGTTCGCCTGAGAAATCATTTTTGAATTGAAAAGTAGTACCGCTAGTGGGGTGTTTGAAATTCTGATGAGCACTTAAAAAAATTGTTTTTACAGAAATTGAGACAAATTTTTTAATATATGTTTATTTTTGATTCAGTAAAAATAAAAATTGAGATATGCAAGATATGCTCCGTGGTTGTAAGATGAAAATTGCCTATGGAGATCAATTTACATCACTGAAAGCTCAGCATGTTAAAAATTAATAGAAGTTAAATATTTTTTGTTCATAATATAAGGCCTAATTTACTAATTTGAGTATATTAAGAATATTAGTTAAATTAGTTAATATGATATATTTTTCTAAAATACTCTAAGTATCTTTGTAATTCCCTTCCTCTTTCAATCCATCTCCTACTTGATTATTATTGAAGGACATCAATAAAGTTAATTGGAAAAAAGTTGATAATTATATGAAATAGGTCTTATATTTATGACAAATATTAACTTTCTAATTAGATCCTATATTAAGGATAGAAGGAGTATTTAAAAAAATATCAACTTGATAATTTTGTAAGAAGTAATAGGGTTTCAAATGTGTAAAATAAGATTTGTATAAGCAATTACAAATAATAACTATAATGAAGGAATAATTAACTATATTTATTTAAGGTTAAGAAAAAAGTAATTTTGATTAAACTATGTAAGAAAATTTTTTTTTTGAGAATTTAAGGTAAGCATAAGAAATTGTTGAAAAAAATTACTCTTCCGATATTAAATATAAGACTCATTACTACAAAATGGGTCTTGCATTTAGGGTCAGAGGAGTATTTTGATTTTATTTTGACAAGTGATTTTGATTAGCTTATCAGAATAAGTTGAAAACAAATTTTCTTTTAACATTCCCCGAGTTTAGCTTAAAATTCTCCCTCAGATTCCTTCAAAGTAACTCAAAAGACCAGGCCCTAAATATGTGTGTGGGATACGCATTCAAGTTTTGGCAAGCTCAAAGATTCTCTCTCAAGTAATTAATATGGAGAGATGAGAAGAGTTTAAAAGGGCTAGTTCTATAGGGTTAAAATTTTAAAAATACTCCAACTTATTAGGCCTGGCTTTTAAGCTAACAGGCTCAGGACCGGCTCTCAGGCTTTCGGTCCGTTTAAGGAAAAAAACTATTTTTCATATTTTTCACATTTTTATCAAAAAATAAAAATAAACTAATAAAATTATTAATAAAAGACATAAATATGAGTAAAATTAAGTTAGAAATATAAAATATCATTATATATATATCCATCAACATCCAATAATATCTAAAACATTCATTAACAAGATAACAACATCCAAAAGTTTCATCTGTAGTGTAAATAGGTAATAAACAAACACCATTATTAATCTTTTGGAACTTTATCATTATTATAATCAATTACTCTTTTTTATAAGTATACTTTTCTTTTGTAACAAAAATATCAAGTTTTTCTTCCCTATAGAAACTTCACTTTTAAATTTTGCAATCTAACTATTATTTTACTTTAGTTTAAGAAACATTGTTGTTGAAACTCATAAATTTTTCATTCAAATTATAGAATCACAAGTTATATAAGTATAAAAATATCCTTTTATCAAATATATATAGTTTAAAAATATCAACACATATAATATAGATCAAATCATTATTAAGATCCAAATTAACCCATTTTTTAAAAATTTAATTGGACAAATTATTATCTAAAACTAAATAAATCAAACTATTATGTGAAATTTAATTTTAAAATAATAATAACTAAATATTTGAAATATCATTAACAATATAAAAAATTAATAATATTATAATTATACCAAAACAATTTTTAAAAAACAAAAAAATAATAATAAAAGGGCCTAAACGGGCCAACCCTCAACCCTGTAGAGCCGGCCTGTTTAAGCCCTCGGCCCTACAGCTATTTTTTGTTTAAGGGAAAAAATTTTAAGCTCATCCGACGGGCTCGGCCCATTTTCTCAGCTCTATTATGGTTTAGAGAAAGGGAAAAAAGAGAGAGAGAAAGAAATTACAAGCAAGAAAGCATCATAATACAAAGAATTCATATGTCATGATATGAGAGGCTAATGTTGTTTGATCACCCTGTGATGCTCTGTTTCTCACTACGCAATTACCAGTTTAGATAACTAAATGGTAAATGACTATAGACACATCTTTACTTCACGAACACAAAATCCTTCTTAAAAGGCATATGGTTAACAAGAAGTCTGGAAAAGAAACACTGAAATAACTTTAAAATTCCCTTGGTCTCACCATAATTTTAGAAGCAGCAACAATGTTTTGCTTCCAAATATCGAACATTACACAAACTTCAACATTAACGGTAAACTAACACAACTTGAATCAAATCAAGTGATGACTGTGGCCCCATTGTAATATTGCTTTCACGTCGTATTACTGCTACTTGGAAAAAACCTCTCCCTGCATGTCTCCATATCAGAAGCGAATAATGTATTCAAATTAAATACAAGTGGATAAAAGATTTTTAAAATAAAATATTACTATATCTATATTTAAGTTTATTTATTATAATATACATATGAACAAAGTGATATGTGTTCTGAGGCATACCTGCTATCAGGATGGACGACAAAGTATGGTTGAAGGAAATGCTTAGCCTGGGGTTGGTCCCACTGCAGTGATTCCCACCACTCTGTTTCACATGATATTTGTTCTAGAGTCGTAGTTGATGGTGATATTTGCTGACATTCCTCTATTCCGAACAAACCCAGAGGCAATTTATTTAGAGCTTCACAGCGAACAACTTCAATGGTGCGTAGAGAATCACATTGAATGTCCCCATTGTATATGCCTTTCAGGCTTTGTAAATAATGCAATTTCAAGCTCTGCAATTTCGGAAGGATCACTCTGGCTGCATGGCTGCTGCCTTCAGCGTTTGTATTCCTCTCTCCTTCAATAATTTCTTCCATTGCTAGGCAATGAACGATGCTAATTTCTTCAAGACTTTTAAGTTCGAGGATGAGCTGCTTTTGGAACAGAAATTTCAGTGAGCCACATCTTTCAACATGAATACTCTTCAGGTTCTTTAGAGTACCTGGTTTCACAACTTCCCCGCATATCATCCTCAGTTGTGGCAAATAATATAGTTTCATTCTCTCTAACCGCCACAAATTGTTCTCCTCACTTTCCAGAATGCATTCCATCCCGAAACACCGTTTGATATCACAAGTTTTCAAGCACATTCCATCCAATAAGTGCAAAGACAAGCGTTTGATCACATGATGAGAATTCTTAATTACTAACTCCATCACATTTCTCGGAATCAATTCGGTGATCTCCGCTTCTGAAAGGTTCCTTTCTCCAAAACTCACATCTATAACTAAACTAGTTCTCTCAAATAATCGTGAAGTGTCGTATCCGGCTAGAGACCCAACGGCAAGCTTGAACTCCTCCAATTGAGAAAACTTGAGACATTTAACAATTCTTCTATAAGCTGTAATGTCATGTAGCTGCATGTGCACAAGAGACAACTTATGGCAGGATGCAATTTCTTCAACCCCAACTGCATAAGAGTAAGAATTTGTATCGTTAGATGATACTACCATCATAGGCGAACCTAGAATCAACAACTCCTCTAGAAGAGTAAATTTGGACAAGAGTCTAGCTCTTAAGTTTTGGACGCATGTGAAGGAGAAATCCAGGTGTCTCAGACTGGTCAAATGTTCCATCCCTTCTGGAAGTTCTGTCAAGCTTCTAGAAAATGAAAAATCTAAATACTCCAATTTTGTGAGCCTCGCTAAAGAAGGAACGCGAATAAGATTTCAACATTGGCTACATATCAAGGCACGTAGATTCTTCAAATCTGAAAGAGACATAGGCAGAGCACTGATCCCAGTATAGGAGAGATCAAGAACTTTTAGCCCTTGCATATTGTCAAAGAAGTCATCTAATATATTTTGTTCAAATGAGTTGCATTGAAGGAGTAAAGAAGTGAGTCTGGGACACATTGGACTGAATCCTATATATTTCACGTCATTTCGCATCAATGATGCCCACTGAACATCTTCTTTCCATTCCTGAGGCGGTGGCAGTTTTACTTGTCCCATGCCAGCTTTCGCAATGCATCTAGGCTTTGTACTCATGATTGTGAGGGCCATATCTCCTATCAAATCATGCAATTTCACATATCTCACCCCATTCTCAATTTTTAATTCCAACAAGCAAGCAGATATTAATTGGCGTATAATCTTTTGCCCCTTTCGTTTCATCTCGGCCATACTTCCACCACCTAATAAATCTTCCCATACCCAGTAATTAATCAATTCATTCTCATCAATTAGATGACCTTTTGGGTATAAAGCACAAAACAGAAAGCAATACCGCCTTGCATCATCCTCTAGTTTTGAATAGCTCAACTTCAAACAAGAATATACTACTTCTTCAAAGTTGTGAATACCAGTAGTTGAAGTTCTTAACTCTTGTAATGCATCCTCCCACTCTCTTATATCTGCTGTATTTCTCAATGTACGCCCAACTGTAACAATAGCTAGAGGCAAACCACGGCATTGTTTTGCCACTTCCATTGCAATTGATTGTACATCTGGATCTGATAGCACAAGTTCCCCAGCTTTGTCATTGAAGAGATTCCATGCTTCATTCTCTGAAAGAAGTTTTATTTCGACATCCTTGTCTGTTTCCATGTCTTTGCACACTGTACGGCTTCGAGTTATTATCACTAATTTACAACCATTCTCTGCTGTTGGAAAAGGAATTCCAACTTCTTCAATAGAGAGTGGCTCCCAAACCTCATCCAAAATCAGTGCAAATGTCTTCTTCCTATCAAAAGCTTCTAATAATTTAGAAGCTCTTGCTCTTTCATCATCAGCATCTTGAAAAGTCAAACCTAATCTCCTAGCTATATCTTGTTGCACCTTTCTTGGATCCTTTGATGCTTCCACCCAAATAATACAATCAAATTGACTCCTTCCTTTCACTAGGCGGTTGTGAATCTCTGACATGATAGTTGTTTTACCAACTCCTCCGATTCCCCAGATACCAATCCTTCTGGCTTTTTTGTCAAGTAGGAATCCCCAAATCTTCATAAGGATTTGTTTATGTGTTTCATATTCCACCATTGGTATTGCAGACAAAACATCACCTCTCTTGTTTACAGGAACAGCAATTGAATAATCCTCTAAACGTGGAACACCATCTAGAAGTTCTTGGATATCTCTAATCTTCTCCTCAATAAGCTTCCCCAATTTGATTCTTGAACAAATGAAACAGCATCCTTTAGTTGGTCTATGCGAGCCATTTTCATCCAAGAGGTTGCTAACTTCTGTGTTTACCTGATCAGCTCGCTCAAACCACAAAACGCATTCATTTGTTGGCTCTGCTCTGTTTTGACTGCACAATCGATTTACTTCATGTTCAACATCTTTCTTACAAGCATCCAACTTTTGCATCAAATTATCCAGTCGTCGAATACTCCTCTTGGATGCTCTGAAGTGTTTATAATTTTCTCTAATTACTTCATGCAGAGAGCAACACAAGCCCATGGTGCTTGACACACAACCAAGAACTTCCATGGTTGGCTCCAAGGAATTCGAACGAACAAACGAATATAAGAAGCAAAATGTATATTGTTGGAGCTAGTGTGTCCTGTCACTAGTGTGTACTGTCAACTACATATTGAAAAAGTAACGAAAGGTCAAATATATGATCTCCAAATAGAAAATCATAAACAAAAACCAGCTGGAGCACACGTTTAGCTAAAATAGAAACAAAATGGTGATTTTAGCGAGACGATCATTTCATGCAACCTTTCCTAATAGTGTGACATGTATATATGACTGATTCATTCTTCTACGTGATGTGTATGAGGAGCAAGTGAGAGAGTAATGTCAGGAGCAGCGTGAACTATCAAACAGTCAAACGTTATTTTAGTTGGGTCTCTAAAGTATCACAATATACTGACAGAAAAGTCTAAAGGAGCGTCCATCAATCGGGCCCGTTGAGTCACTTCGGACCAGGTTGCATTAGGCTAGCTCAATACATAAAACACAGAGAACAATAAAGGGGAAGAAAAGGAAATAATCGCACCAAGCTTCTATCTGAACACACAAAAACTTAGATTTGGTCAAGGCATCGCAGTCCTTCACCTTCCCCTGTCTCGTAAAATCAGCCATGTCCTTTGTGGTTCTTCAAAATGATTGCTTCTGTGTTATGTTTCTATCGTCCTCTTCCATCCACATCGATGGAGAGAAAGTCAGAAAAGAGGGAAGTGATGGAGGGGGAAAAAAAAGGAAGAAAAAAGAGTCAAGAATTTGTGTATTTGAAAAAGGAAGGGGTGTTATGTTATAAACTATTGCTTAGTTCCTTTTTCTAATTTGCATTCGTGTTCTCTTGCAGTCTTGCTAACAATGTATTATAAATTATTATTTTAATTTTAATAATATTTTTTCTTTAATAAAAACAACAACAACAATAATGATAAAAGAGGTGATTTCTGGACACTATCCTCTCATTTTTCCCATCTTTTCTTTTTCTTGCCTTTTCCTTTTACTATCATTTTATAATTTCATATGTTTAAATTTAATATTTTATATAATTATTACTTTATGCAAATAAATTTCTACTATTATAATTTGATCAATATAAACTATAAAATTTCATTAAAATTTAATGAGAATATTTTCTTATAATTTTAAATTGTTCGAGTGAAATTTTAATATTTTAAATTTATTTATGTAAAATAATAATAATAATTTTGGAAAATTGTTGAAAAATATCAGGAAAATTACAAAAAAAGACCTTGGAATTGCAAAAACGCAGATAGGGACCCTTGACAACTTCACTTTGGGTTTTGACAATTTCATGTGTCATAAAGTTGTCAAGGGTCCCTATCTGCGTTTTTGCAATTCCAAAGTCTTTTTTTTACAATTTTTCCAAAAATATCTCCTTGCAAAATTTATTATCAAAGATACCTGAAATTTGATTAATGACTCAAGTGCAACTTATCTTCTATGAATGCTACTTTTTTTTAAGTGTGAGGAATCTATCTTTAATTATATGCAAAACAAAAAATATTTATGCATAACTAAAAATATGATATATATAGTTTAGAAAATGCTACATTTGCTAAAACTGAGTTATACTCATTCAAAATATTAGAATCTTTAGTACTTTTAGATGATAAATTTTATAATCAGTAATTTTTGAAATAATTTTACAAGATATTTAATTTAGTGTTAAAAGTTTAATTAGATTACAATAAAAAATAATGTGAAAAAAAGGGAAAAGAGAGTCTCCCTTAGTCAATGTTCCCCAGAGAAGGCAAGCAAAAGTGCAAAACAAAAGGACGTGAAGGAAAGAGGGAGAGAAAGTTGAATAAGAAAAGAAGTGAATTTTGTTTCAGAACATAAACGTGCTTTTAAGTGTTTAGATCGTGGCTCCAACCAAATCCCTGGCTGGCAGCTTTCTGTATCCCAATTTTCTAACTGTATCTCCCCTACAACTTTTTGACAAACTTCCAACAACTTCCTTGGTTGGCTCCAAGGAATTCAAACAAACAGAGGAATATAAAATGCAATGTCAAATATATGATGTCCAATTAGGGATAAAAATAGATCAGGCTTTGGCTAAATAGGCCTAAGTTTGTATTAAGTGTTCAAAGTTTGAGTGTAGGCTTGTCGCTTGAAGCTAGGGCTGTGCAAAAACCCGGTGGTCCGGTCCAACCTGAGCAAACCCGGTCCAGTCCAGTCCAGTCCAGAAAAAATTAGCCCGAAACAAGACTGCACCAGACTGGACTGGACTAGTCTCATCGGGCTGGACTGGACTAAGGACTGGCCCCTCAGACTAGTTAGTCCAGTCCAGTCTAGCTCGGTTTTTTTAATTATTATTTATATAATTTTACTTTGGTTTAATTTTTCTATATAAATTTTTTGTTTATTCAAATAATCAAGATTTATTTATTAACTTCCTAAGTAATGAGCATGTGTATATATTTTCTACAATATAAGATCTATATTAATGAGGATTAATTAATAAAACATGACATTATTGGGAAATTGAAAGAGAATGATTAAATTTGATGAACTTTGGATTAAAATATGTACAAAATTTTATATAGTAAGTTATAATCTTGTCTCCTATTGAAGGAAAAAAATTTTAAAAAAATTAAATTTAGGTCCTAGACTGCTTGGACTGGTCCAGGAAGTCCAGAGGACCAAGTCCAGTCCAACCCGACCTTAGGTTGGTACTGGACTGGACCAGACCTCAGGCTGTCTTTTTCAGCCCGAGGCCTTTATTGAACCAGACTTCGGGTTGATAACAAATCTGGTCCAGTCTGGTCCATGCACACCCCTACTTGAAGCTGCATAAAAGCTTCTTTTTTTTTTTTTTTTTAAAGCTTAGGCCTAAGCCTTTGAAAGGTTTCGCAAGCGTGAAGTCATTTTAAAAGTCTACTTACAATATAGGCAGTTAAAAAAAAAAAAAACCTTATGTTTCAATCCTTAAAGGTCATAAATAGGTTTTAAGCTTACTAAAACCTATATAAATGTAGGTGTTTAGTATACTTAGAAGCCTATATACTTCAATAGATACTAATAAAATAAATTTTAAAAAATTAATCTAGCCATACTTTAAATTTAAAAGCTTAGGCCCACCTCTTTGCTCAAACAGGCTACCCGATATCAGGCCCCAACCAAGCCAGGTTGTAAGCCTATGATATTTCCACCCGTGTCTCCAGGACTATACATGGAAGAGCATCAAGAGCAAGAATATATTTGAACAATGATTTTCCAAATAGAAAATTATGAACAAAAACCTGCTTGAGCACAGGTACAACCAAAATAGAAACAAAACGCTGATTTTAGCCAGGCATACATTTCATGCTGATTCGTGTGACAAGTACATATGACTAATTCATGCTTCCGGGTGATGCGTAGAGTGAACTATCAAATACTCAAACGTTATTTTAATGGAGTATTCAAAGTATTGCAATACACTGAAAGAAAAATTTGGAAGGGGTATCTATCAATGAGGTTCGCAAACACAAAAAATGTCAAATCAGGGCATACAAGACTGGAGTCACAGTATTCCAACCTTGAAGGCACTATCAAGTTCACAGTTCTGGTGGAGGCTTTTCTTTTTAAGGAAGAAAATTATGTAGTCATAACAGGAAGAAGACAGTGAATAGTAAGTGGAAGAATCCGGATGCTGCATAAGCATAAAGTTGAATCCGTAGAAAAAGGAGATAGATATAAAAAGGGAAGAAGAGGAAATAATCGTACCAAGCTTCTATTTCAGCACAAAAATTCAGATTTGGTCCCGGCATCGCATTCC